AGAGGCTGAGCTACCTGGTATTGTTTAGTCTGCAGAAGAGAAGAATGAGGGGGGATTTGATAGCAGCCTTCAACTACCTAAAGGGGGGTTCCAAAGAGGATGGAGCTCGGCTGTTCTCAGTGGTGGCAGATGACAGAACAAGGAGCAATGGTCTCAAGTTGCAGTGGGGGAGGTCTAGGTTGGATATTAGGAAACACTATTTCACTAGGAGGGTGGTGAAGCACTGGAATGCGTTACCTAGGGAGGTGGTGGAGTCTCCTTCCTTGGGGGTTTTTAAGGCCCGGCTTGACAGAGCCCTGGCTGGGATGATTTAGTTGGGAATTGGTCCTGCTTTGAGCAGGGGGTTGGACTAGATGACCTCTTGAGGTCCCTTCCAACCCTGATATTCTATGAGTCTATGATCACATTTTAGACATTATTTCAAGCATAAGTTTTGCAGTGGCAAGTTATTAGTCAGCAACTATCTCTGCAGATAAGTAAATAGTTTTCATTGTGACAAGAGATTTTGCAGTTCTCCATATGGTGGATTTTCTTTTTGCTAATGCGAATCTCTAAAATGAGCAGACTGACACATTTAAGTATCTAAAAAAAATCTACATTTTAACATTTGTTTTAGGATTGGATGTTGACGGGTTATACCGAGTCAGTGGCAATCTTGCAGTGATACAAAAGCTAAGATTTGCAGTTAATCATGGTAAGTTCCATTCTCCAACTGTATTATCAATTTGAAAATATATGTAAGAGTATTTGTCAAAATTGCTAGAAAGTTCTTCAGATTGTGCATTGATTGTTGGTCCATCTGTTTTAAAATAATATGACAACATTTCATGAGAAATATCTAGCACTTTTCAAAATGAAAATGCTACTAAATAGCATCTTCTATGCTCTTCAAGGTGGGTACTGTCTACATCTGTTCATACAGTGCCTAGCACACCAGCGCCTTGGTCCTAATTGAAGCCCTCTAGTCACTCCTGTAATAATTCTGAAGCAACGTGTGGCATGGCAGTTTAAAAGGAATGAAACTCAAATAGAATATTTCTATATCTTATGGAAAGGAAGAGAAAAAGTATTAAAAAACCCAACAACCTTGTACTAGCATTTAACATTTGTCTATCCTTCTGACCTTGGGTGAGAATCTCTATTGTGCCCTTAGGTGGTCCAGCAAAGGACACTCAGCCTAGAGCAAAGGTGGGCAAACTACCGCCCTGGGGCCGCATCTGGCCCTTCAGACATTTTAATCCTGCTCTCGAGCTCTAGCCAGGGAGCGGGGTCTGGGGCTTGCCTTGCTCCGTGCATGCCGGGGCTCCATTGTGGGGATGTAT